GAGGGCACTCACGAGCCTCACGCAAGTTGTGCTAGCAAATAATTCCCATCTGTGGACCTAAATGCTGAGGAGTCCTTAATAAATGAGACAAGTCAAATCTTTGACCAATTTAGGTGAAATACAATGTGTTAAGTCTCAAACTTGGTAATTCTTCAGGTAAAGATGTTGGCCCAGGCCTGCATTTTGAGAAGCTGGTGTATAGTTTCAGGGGGTTCCTCGCAGACTAGTGTGTCCCTATTTTGAGGCAGCTTAAGAGTTTTCCTTGACACAAGAAAAGTCATATTTTGGGTTTATTCTAAAGCACTAGTGCTCCACTCTACCCTCCGATTAGATTCACTCAAGGAGCCTTTAAATTAGTGATTCTCAGGAATCCCAGCCCTACAAGGTCTGGTTTAACTGTTGTAGGAACAGGGTCTGGACATTACTTGTTGGTTTTAAAGTTTCCCCAGGTGATTCTAACGTGCAGCCAGGGTTGAGAGCCGCTCCTCTGTGGACTGGTTTCTAGGAGGCGTTACTACTCCAGGTGTGGTCTGAGGACCCCTAGCATCGGTGTATTAGTTTCCTGTGGCTGCTGTAACAAATGACAACAGACTTGGCGTCTGTCTTAGTCTCTTTGGGTGCTGTACCAAATACTGCAGACTAGTCAGCTTACAAACAACAGACATTTATTTCTCTCAGTTCTGGAGGCTGGAAGTCCAAGGTCAAGGGGCTGGCAGATTCGCTGTCTGGTGAGAGCCAGCTTTCTGGTTCACAGACGTGCCTTCTAGCTGTAACTTCATTTGGCAGAAGCGGGTGAGGGACTTTTGTGGGTCTGTTTTGTAAGGACACTGATGCCATTCATGAAGGCTCCGTGCTCCAGACCTAATCAATTCTCTGTGGCCCCACCCCCTGTCATCCTGGGGGATAGGATTTCAACATAGGAATTTGAGGGGACACAAACATTGACACCATAACAGTGTCTCAAAACATCACACACTTATTCTCATAGTCCTGGAGGTCAGAAGTCCAAAGTCAGTTCCACTGGGCTGAAATCAAGGTGTTGGGCTCCCTCCAGAGGTCACTAGGAGAGAATCAGTTTCCTTGCCTTTTCCAGCTTCCAGAGCTGCATTCTTTGGCTTGTGGCCCCTTCCTCCATCCTCAAAGCCAGCAGCGTAGCATTTTGCTTTAGCAGTCACATTGCCTTCTGCTGTGGTCACATCTCCCTCTGCCTTCCTCCTATAAGGATACTTGTGATTACATTAGGACCCCACCTGGATAATCCAGGGTAATCTCCCAATCTAAGATCTCACCTGCAAAAGACCTTCTTCCATATAAGGTAACATTCACAGGTTCCACGTATCAGGACTCAGGTATCTGGAGGCCACGATACAGCCTACCACAAACAGCAGTAGGTGGAACTAGAAATGCAGAACCTCGGTCCCCACCTGAGACTTGATGAATCAGAATCTGCATTTTAACAAGATCAGCAAGTGATTCACCGACACAGTAAAATTTGAGGAACATGGTTCTATTGGATCCGTACCAAGGAATTCTCCAATAATTGAGTCCCATGTCAAATACAAACTGAAGGAGTATTTTCTCTAGGAGCCTTTTCAGGTGGCGGTGGGTGATCAGATGACAAATCCTTTTCCTGAACACTATAAATAAGTGCTCGTCTAAACGACAGCAGTCTCCAGAATTCTCAATGAAGCCACAAGCCCTAAGCATCAGGATGTCAGAGCTCTTGTTTGTTGCTGATAGTTCAGCACCAGGCTTGCCACTGGGATATACAACAGTTAAGTTTTTTAAAAGCTACATAAGGAAGGTAAATTGTATAAACATAAGCGTGTTCTGCTGCTAACATCAGTTTTACTCCCCCTATACAGGTTTTCTTGGGCAAGCAAGTCAGGATCGGGGTGGGTAAGTTCCTCCATGTTGTCTACACTGTGGCAATTTGTTCACCTTCTGCTCGTGTGTAAGGGAGAGGGAAGGAAAACTAGTTTATTGACCACAGACCCCAGTGTTATGCTTCTCCCATATTTAAGCAACAAGGGACAGAGTTTAGCCCTTTTTAAAAATGTTAATATCACAGAAGGAAAGCAGAAAAGAGCTAGCTAATACTAGATCCAAATGAAATTAAAAATGGCCTCTGGGAGTCAGAGCAACGACTCAAACCTCTGAATGACTAAGGGAGAGACTGTCAAATGCCCTAACAGTCCACAGGAGGGCAGCAGTGCTACGATTTACAAAGCCTGACCATGTTAGTGTAACCTTTGCTGGATGAGCCTGGAAATGATAAAAGCAACGCAGCTTAGAAAAAAAATCTGTGTACACTCACTCAATTTTGCATTATTTCTGGAAGTCAGTAGACTATGTTAAATCCTGCTCTTGAGTACAAATATGCAAACGTTTTAAATATGCAAAAAAAATTCATTGTTGGTTACAATGCTAGCTGTCAGGCATTGTTAAGTTTTAGAATACCAGAGCTGTCTATTTTTCTTAAACCCAGAATCTACTTTAACAATGCAAATTCCAATTCCCGCCTATTCCAGGTCTCTTCAGCATTCTTGCAGAAGATTTTCATTGTTAGTCACCTTATAAAGCTCTCTCCATGTATCTTATGCCAATTAAAAAAGTATATTATGGTCTCAAGTTAACGTCAAATGAAATTTGATAAAATGATTTCTTTGTTTATAGTCAACCTAATTTTCATCCAGTTGGTATTAGAAAGATTGCTTCTGTTTTTATAAACAACAGATAGCCTTGTTTGGTTAGCCAGGCAACAAGACATTAATTCAAGTCTCAGACATTTTCCGACTTCTTTAATAGGCTGAATTAATAAAACTACGATTTTCTTTGAAAAATACAAGCCTTTATCTTCTGTCTTTAGAAGTTTATATGTAGAAATGGACTATGGGGATTGAGAATCACTAATACAGAGGTTCTCCACCTTAGCTGCACATTAGAATCACTTGGGAAATTTTAAAGACACCTTATACCCAGGCCACATCCCAGATCAATTACATGAGAAACTCTGGGAGGTGGGACCCAGGCAGCAGTAAAGCTCCCCGGGTGATTCCAATTGCAGCTGTGGTTCAGAAACTGAGGTCTGAACTTAGAGGTTTAGCAATCTGATTTAATAAAATCTGCAAAGAGAACAAGAATTTTTTTTGCATAAACAAAAACCGTATTATTGGTTACACATATCAAATTTTATACTTTACTGTTGAGACTTGGGTTTTTAATTACTTAGCCATACTCATGCATTAAAGTGACGTGGAAGATATGTTTTCTATCAGATACAAGCACATAGATACTTAAATGTGGTTAACTCAAGGTTAGGTAATAACAGAGGCTATGAGCGCTGGGCAGAAATCAGGAGAAGCTTCACCGAATGGGCAGTATTTGAGCTGAGTCTTGGAAGACGCCCGGGATCTGGACAGGAGCACAGGCGCTTCAGGCAACAGTGAACCAGGAATACAGCTGAGAGCACAGGGCAGATGGTCTGGCTTGACTGGGAGCAGGTTATCTGAAGAAGGGGAGCAGAAAGAGAAGGCTGGGGGAGAACAGCTGGGATTGAATTGTAGAAAGCCGTCAAGCATCACGCTAGGAAACTTGGACTTCCTGCTGCAGGTGATGTGGTGTCACTGACCCTCTGAGCAGGACAGGCACCTGCGGGGCTGGGAGTGGAGAAGCCCGGACATGCTTACGGCTCTGAGATGTGAGGGCAGGAGTGATGATTGTGGCAGTGGAAAGGTTAGAGAAGATGGGCCCCAATCAGAAGCATACTCTGACTTGAGATAAAACACACTGGAAATAAATGCATCATCACAAATGAAACTTCTCCAAACCTACATTTTATTTTATGCCAGATTTGCAGATTCAATTCTCAAAAAATGAACAATGAAGACCACATACAGGGACTTCTCATTGCACCTGAAATACATTCTTGCAGTTTTAAGAAACTTTTAAATTCAAATATGCTTCTTTCCCTGTCATTTAAACAAACTTTTCTAGCGAAACTGGTTTCCCTATATATTTATTTGACAAACAGAACATAATTTACATTTGCAGAAATATATCAATTTCACATACATATGTATCAAATTGAAAAAATTAAATTTGAGGTGAAACTACTATAAAAGTCAATTTATTATGGTAAGTAAATCTTTGGTTGAAAAATACTTCAATTAGGCTTTTAAAAGAATAAACAGTACAGCTATCCCTTGCTTCTAAACAAGCACTACATTCTTAAAAGTATGAGAAAATGGGTACAGTAAAACTTCAACTCTATATTTAATTCAGAATTCCTGTTTATTTCTGCCTAAATTTATCTTCCTAAAGTACCTCATTAGAGATTACAAAGGGAAGGAGCACTTACAGTGCATTATAAACATGTCTTTATAGAGTAAAACAATATTTACTCTGGTGCACTCTTGAGTCCTCAATTCATATCCTCCTCAGCCAATGTTTCTTTGGCCCAATTTGTGCTACTAAATATAAAAGTGCAAAACACAACTTGTAAAAACGTAATTTGAATTAGCGTGGTGGTCCCTCCTTTTCCCACTGGCGTATCTGAGAGAGACCCTGCCTGGTGTGAGGACTCAGAAGAGGGGGATCTATTCCACCTGAGCATAAAGTGCTACCTGAGCTATGTTTCCTTTTTTCGTCCCTTCCTACAACCAACAGCAAATACACCAAGTTAAGTTTCCTTTTCTGAAATACATGGCTTTTAGCAGATGAGGTGAGATGCACACAAAGACTAAGATTCTGATACAACTGGAGGTTATCTGATGAATTTATTCCTGACAAAACTGCCTACCCTTAGATGACATGTTTAAAACAAGACATCTCTTTATTCAAGTAGGGACAGAAAACCACCTATAGCCAGAATTCAGAGCGGATCCTAAGTCTCTTAAAGATGGAATTCTCTTTAAGAAAACTACAAGGCCACAGTGCTCACGCTGTACCACGGGCTGGCGTCTTGTTATGGGGGTTAGAGCTCTCTAACTTTTACAGAAGTAGCAACTGATTCTGAATCCTTACTGATTCCTTAGACTGGTTTATTGACATTAAAAAAGGTGAAGAACAAATGCCATCCATAAACTTTATAGCTTCTTTAAATTCACCAAGAAGTTATAAGAAGTTACCATTTACTGCATCTGCTTTGCTGGAGTGGTTGAATTATCCTTGTAGGTGGTGTCTGCAGTGCTAACCTCTGTTTCCCTATAAGGCAAGGAAAAAAGATAGCATGAAGATAAACTTAATTGAGTACAAAAGTTCAATTCCAGAAACCCACTTAGAAAATAGACCATTAAAAAACACTGCATTTATAGTATTAAGAGTTTCTGAACCAGGAAATAAATGATTCTTTTAATATAATTTCAGATGTTCAACTAGTCTCACTCTAGAAATATTTGTTCTATCCCTGTATTATATTTTTGATTCCCTCCAAAATAAGAAACAGTGTAGTCTCATACAAAGTACTTAATAAATATTTCCTCACTTTAATTTATGCTTATGTCTTTAGGTGCTCCTAAGTTGGGTGCATAAATATTTAGGAATGCCATATCCTTTTCTTGGATTGACCCCTTTACCATTACGTAACGCCCTTCTTTGTTGTTACAGTCTCTCTTTTAAAGTCTATTTTGTCTGATGAGTATTGTTATCCCACTTTTCTTTTCATTTCCATTTGCATGGAATACCTTTTTCCAGCCCTTCACTTTCAGTCTGTGTGTGTCTTTAGATCTGAAGTGAGTCTCCTGTAGGCAGCATATAGATGAGTCTTGTTTCTTTATCCTTTTAGTCACCCTATGTCTTTTGATTGGAGCATTTAGTCCATTTACATTTAAAGTGATTATTGATAGGTATGTACTTACTGTGATTTCGTTAACTGTTTTCTGGTTGTTTTTATAGTTCTATTCTGTTCCTTTCTTCTTCTCTTGGTCTCTTCCCTTGTGGTTTGATGGTTTTTCTTTAGTGCTATGTTTTGGTACATTTTTCTTTATTTTTTGTGTATCTACTATAGGTTTTGGTTTGTCTCTACCATGAGGTTCATATATACCAACCTATATATTTAGCAGTCTATTTTAAGCTGATAGTTACTTAAATACAAATGCATTCTAAAAGCACTACATTTTTACTCTCCCAGCCATGTTTTACATTTTTGACATCATATTTTACATCTTTTTATTTTGTGTATTCCTTAACTACTTATTGTAGTTATGGTTGATTTTAATACTTTTGTCTTCTAACCTTCATACTAGGCTTTTAAGTGGCTGATACATTGCTTTTACTATGTATTTCCCTTTACCAGTGATATTTTTTTTCTGAATATATTTTCTCATTTCTAGTTATGGCCCTTTCTTTTCTGTTCAACATTTCTTGTAAGGCCAATGTAGTGGTGATGAACTCCTTTAGTTTTAGCTTGTCTGGGAAACTCTTTCTCTCTCCTTCAATTCTGAATGATAACCTCGCCAGATAGAGTACTCTGAGTTTTTTCCTTTCAGCACCTCCAATATATCCTGCCACTCCCTTCGGAGCTGCAAAGTTTCTGCTGAAAAATCAGTTGATAGTCTTATGGCAGTTCCCTTGTATGTGACTTGTTTTTCTCTTGCTGCCTTTAAGATTTTTTCTTTAACTTTTGTCATTTAATTATAATAATGTCTTGCTGTGGATCTCTTTGGGTTCTTCTTGTTTTGGACTCTCTTTGCTTCCTGGACCTGGATGGCTGTTTCCTTCCCCAGGTTAGGGAAGTTTTTTTGCCATTATCTCTTCAAATAAGTTTTCTGCCCCTTTCTCTCTCTCTTCTCCTGGGATACCTATAATGCAAATGTTAGTATAATTGATGTTGGCCCAGAGGTCCCTTAAACTATCCTCATTTTTAAAATTCTTTTTTATTTTTCTGATTGATTTTCACTATTTCATCTTCCAGATTGCTATCTGCTCTTCTGTATCATCTAATCTGCTGTTGATTCCTTCTAGTGTATTTTTCATTTCAATTATTGAATTCTTCAGCCCTTACTGGTTCTTTCTTATATTTTTTAACTCTCTATTGAAGTTCTCACTGTGTTCCTCCATTCTTCTCCTGAGTTCAGTGAGCATTTTTATGACCATTACTTTGAATTCTTTATCAGGTAAATTACTTAACTCCATTTCATCAGGTTTCTCTGCATTTGTTTCTATGAATTAGGTGAAACATCTACCTCTCCTGGGCTTGAAGAAGTGGCTTTGCATAGGAGCATCCCCTGTGTAGACTGGAGCAAACATCTACCTCTCCTGGGCTTGAAGAAGTGGCTTTGCATAGGAGCGTCCCCTGTGGAAACTGGAGCTAGAGCGGGCGCAAGTGAGGGGGATCCTGATGCGTGCTGTGTCAGGGCTGCCTTGGCAGGATGGCTGGAGCTAGAGCAGATGTGGGCTGGGGGGTCCTAGGGCACACTGAACCAGGGCTGTCCTGGTGGGGCAACTGGAGCTGGGACAGGCACAGGCCGGGGGGTCCCAGGCTGTGCTGTGCCGAGGGCACTCTGGCAGGATGACTGGAGCTGGGGCAGGCATAGGCGGGGGGCCCGGGTTGCACTGCACCAGGGCCACCTTGGTGGGACAGCTGGAGCTGGTGTGGGCCAAGGGCCTGAGGCAGCCGTGGCAGGCCAGCTAGAGTGTCAAGACCATGCTCCTGCCTGTGCTATCAAGGTGGAGGGGTAGTGCAAAAAATGGTGCTCGTCAGAGCCTCTGGCTCTGGAGAGAGTTCCAGCAGCTCCCCACCCATTTGGCAAATGTTCTAGGGTTAGTAAATGACTTCCTTCCATGTAAGGTCTAGGTGCCCTTTAAAATGCCATTTTTTCATTGTGCCCCAAGGCAGGCAAGACTGCATGCAGGCTTCTCAGAGATATCCCTCCTTACTGCAGGTTGCTGCATTGGGGGTGGGGTTCCCATCAATACTGTGTCCTCCTCTCTCCCTCTATCATTTGTTTGCAGAAGCTGTTCATTCAGCCCTCAGTTTTTCAGGAGGAATTGCTCTGTATGTAGGTGTAGATTCAGTGTGTCTATGGGAGGAGGTGAGTTCAGGGTGTTTCTATGCCACTATCTGGGTCCTTGTCTTTTTCCTGATCTTAGAGGAAAAGCTTTCAGCTTTTTGTTGCTGAGTATGAAGTTGGCTGTGGGCTTGTCATATATGGCCTTTATTATGTTCAGGTACACTCCCTCTATATCCACTTTGTTGAGAGCTTTTATCATAAATGGATGTTCTATTTTGTCAAATGCTTTTTCTGCATCTATTGAGATGATCATATTATTTTTATCCAACATTTTGTTAATGTGCTATATCACACTGATTGATTTGTGGATGCTGAACCATCCTTGCATCCCTGGGATAAATCCCACTTGATCATGGTGTATGATGTATTAATGTATTGTTGAATTCAGTTTACTAGTATTTTGTTGAGGATTTTTGTGTCTATGTTCATCACAGATATTGGCTTGCAATTTTCTTTTTTGCGGTGTCCTGTCTGGTTTTGGCATCAGGGTAAAAGGGGCTTCATAAAATGAGTTTAAATGTATTCCCTCCTATTCTGTTTTTGGAAGAGTATGAGAAAGATTGGTATTAATTCTTCTTTAAAGTTCTATTGAATTCCCCAGCAAAGCCATCTGGTCCTGGACTTTTGTTAGTTGGTAGGTTTTTGATTACTGATTCAATCTCCTTACTAGTAATTGATCTGTTCAGATTTTCTATTTCTTCATGATTCAGTGTTGGTAGCTTGTATCTTTCTGGGAATTTATCCATTTCTTCTAGGTAGTCTAATTTCTTGGCATATAATTGTTTATAGTAGTCTCTTATGATTCTTTGTATTTCTGTGGTATCAGTTATAATACCTCCTCTTTCATTTTTGCTTCTATTTACTTCAGTCCAATCTCTTTTTGCTTCATGAGTCTACTTAAAGGTTTGTCTATTTTGTTCATCATTTCAAAAAGCCAATTCTTAGTTTTTTTTTGTTTGTTTTTTTTTTTTTTTGTGAGGAATACCAGCCCTGAGCTAACATCTGATGCCAATCCTCCTCTTTTTTTGCCAAGAAAGACTGGCCCTGGGCTAACATCTGTGCCCATCCTCCTCTACTTTATATGGGACACCGCCACAGCATGGCTTGACAAGCAGTGTGTCGGTGTGCGCCCGAACTCCGAACCTGCGAATCCCAGGCCGCCAAAGCGGAGTGCGTGCACTTAACTGCTATGCCACCAGGCCAGCCCCCAACTCTTAGTTTCATTGATCTTTTCTATTGTCTTTTTGTCTCTATCTCACTTTTTATTTCTGCCTGATCTTTGTTATTTCCTTCCTTCCTACTAACTTTGGCCTTAGTTTGTTCTTTTTTTCTACTTCTTTTATGTGTAAAGTTAAGTTGTTTATTTGAGATCTTGTTCTTTTCTTAATATAGACATTTATTGCTATGAATTCCCCTCTTAAAACTGCTTTTGCTGCATCTCATAAGTTTTGATATGTTGTATTTCCACTTTGATTTGCGTCAAGATATTTGATTTCTCTTTTGATTTCTTCTTTGACCCACTGGTTGTTCACTAGCATGTTGTTTAAGTTCCCTGTATTTACGAATTTTCCAGGTTTCGTCTTGTAACTGATTTCTCTATTATACCATTGTGGTTGGAAAAAACGCTTGATATGATTTCAATCTTCTTAAATTTAGTAAGACTTCTTTTGTGGCCTAACATATGATCTGTCTTGGAGAATGTTCCATGTGCACTTGAGAAGAGAAGAACATGTATTCTGTTCCTGTTGGATGGAATGTTCTGCACTGTCTCTTAAGTCTATTTGGTCTAACGTGTCATTTAAGTCCAATGTTTCCTTATTGATTTTTTATCTGGATGATCTATTCATTGTCAAAAGTGGAGTACTGAAGTCTTCTACTATTTATTGCTATTTCCCACTTTAATTCTAATATTTGCTTTATATATTTATGTGACCCTATGTTGGGTGCATAAATATTTACAAGTGTTATATCCTCTTGTTGGATTGACCTTTTTATCACTATATAATGACCATCCTTGTCTCTTATTACAATATTTGTCTTAAAGTCTATTTCATCTCATGTAAGTATAGCTACCCCAGCTTTCTTTTGGTTTCCATTTACATCAAATATCTTTTTCCATCCCTTTACTTTCAGTCTTTGTGTGCCTTTAAATCTGAAGTGAGTCTCTTGTAGGCAGCATATACATAGGTCTTGTTTTATACAGTCAGCCACTCTATGTCTTTTGATTGGAGAATTTAGTCCACTACATTTAGAGTAATTATTGATAGGTATAGTCTTATTGCTACTTTTTAAACTGTTTTCTGACTGTTTTGTAATTCATTTGTTCCTTTCTTCTTTTCTCTTATTCTCTTCCTTTGTGATTTGATGATTTTCTTTAATGATATGCTTAGATTCCTTTCTCTTTATCTTTTGTGTATCTATTACAGGTTTCGGCTTTGTGGTTACCATGAAGCTTACATAAAACAAATTATTTACAACAGACTATTTTAAGTGGAAAACAACTTAACTTTGAATGCATTTTAAAGCTCTACATCTTTACTTCTCCCTCACCCATGCTTTATGGTTTTGATGTTACAATTTATTTCTTTCTATCTTGTGTATCCATTAACAAATTATTGTAGTTATATTTATTTTTACTACTTTTGTCTTTTAAACTTCATACTAGCTTTGTAAGTGAGTAACCCACCACCTTTTCAACATTAGATGATTCTGAATTTTACAAATATTTACCTTTACCAGTGAGATCTACACTTTAAAATGATTTCCTATTACTAATGAGCACCTTTTGTTTCAGCTTTAAGAAGTCCCTTTAACATTTCTTGTAATACCAGTGTAGTGGTGATGAACTCTCTAGCTTTTGCTTATCTGGAGAACTCTTTATGTCTCCTTCAATTTTGAAAGACAACATTGCAGAGTAGAGTATTCTTGGTTGGCAGTGTTTTTCTTTCAGAACTTGAATATATCATGCCACTCCCTTCTGGCCTGCAAGGTTCATGCCGAAAAATCTGCTGATATTCTTATGGGGGTTCCCTTGTACATAACAGTTTTTTTTTTCTTGCTGCTTTTAAGATTCTCTCCTTGTCTTTAACTTTTGATATTTTAATTATATGTTAGTACAGATGTCTTTGGGTTCATTTTATTTGGAAGTCTCTGGGCTTCCTGGACCTGAATGTCTGTTTCCTTCCCAGGTGAGGAAAGGTTTCACTTATTATTTCTTCAAATAAGTTTTCTGTCCCTCTCTCTCTCTCTTCTCCTTCTGAGACCCCTATAATGTGAATGTTGGTCTGCTGGATGTTGTCCTATAAGTCTCTTATGCTATCTTCACTGTTTTCATTCTTTTTTCTTTTTGCTGCTCTGATTGGATGAGTTCCACTGCCCTGGCTTCAAGTTCACTGATCCTTTCTTCTGCTTCATGTAGTCTGCTGATGAACCCCTCTATTGAATTTTTCAGCTCAGTTATTGTATTCTTCAATTCTGTGACTTCCATTTGGTACTTTCTAACATTTTCTTTCTTTTTGTTGAAATTCTCACTTTTTTTCATCCATTCTTCTCCTAAGCTCAGTTAGTATCTTTATGACCATTATTTTGAGCTCTTTATCAGATAAATCACGTATCTCCATTTCATTGAGGTCTTTTTCTGAGGTTTCATTTTGTTCTTTCATTCGGAACGTATTCCTCTATTTTTTCATTTTCCTTGACTCTCTGCGTGGCTTTCTATGAAACACACAATAAAACAGCCACCTCTCCCAGGCCTAAAGGAGTGCCCTTGTGTAGGAGATGTACCTTATCATTCATCCCTGCTGTAGCTCTTGGTTGTCTCTCAAACCTTTGTAATCATCCAAGCATGCTACTTTATTCTTAATGGTTCCCAGTAGTTGATGGTGTGCCAAGACCTCTCAGTGTCCCGATAGGAAAGATCTCAGTCAACACCTAGACTTAGGCTGATTGGAAGCCAGACTGTTAGGCAGCAGCTTATAAGTATGCAAATACACCTGTTTCAGAGGAACACTGGGAGATGGGCATTTCTGTGTGCTCCCTCTGCACTGAGCCTTAGGGAGACAGTCACTTAAGAACTGTTTCTTTGGTTGCTACCGTCCTGTTGAACCCTTGAAGACAAGCCTTGCTGGCCACTAGAGTCAGGTTACCAAGGGATGTGTCCTCTGGGCAGCATACATAAAATCTGGGGTGCCAGGTGTGTACATAAGCCCCTTTCTTGGAGACATCAAGGGGTGGGACAGAGAGGGAGAGTGTGAAGATGGTGCCTGCCAGCCTCCATGGTCTTTGGCGAGTACTTCAGTCAGCTCTCAGATGCATGTTTAATTAGAAGCCTGCCCCTCAGGCCACAGCAATGAAGGTAAGCTAACAGGCCTCTTTCACAGAAAGACTGGGGATGCATTTCAGTCTGCTGCCTCTGCACTGTGTCCTGGGGTGGATAGCCAGTTAAGAACTGTTTCTCCATTTCTTATAGTCCTATGTGACCTGCAAACATAAGCTCCCCTGGCGACCAGAGTCAGGAGATCAAGGGGTATCCCCAGCTGGCAGCTGCAAAAAACAGGGCACCAGACATGTACACAAGCTCCTTTTTGGAGATAATGGAAATCTGGAGGATGGCAGAGGGACAGTGCGAAGATAGAGCCTGCTCCAAGCCTCCTCCTGGAGAGGACTGTAATCAGCCCCTAGATGTATGTTTAATTAGAAGCCTGCCCCTCAGGCCGCAGCTATGCAGATAAGCTAATTGGCCTCTTTCACAGAAAGACTGGGCATTACAGTCTGCTGCCTCTCTGCTGGACTCTGGGGTATAGCTGGTTAAGAACTCGTTCTCTGCTTGTTATACTCCTGTGGGATCCGTGCACTTTAGCCCCACTGGTTACCAGCTCCAGGCAATCTAGAGGCGCCCCCTGGGTGGCAGCCGCAAACACCAGGGCCCCAGATGTGTGCACAAGCTTGTTTCTAAGAGATACTGGTGATATGGACCCAGGCAGAGGGAGAGCAGGAAGATAGGGCCTGCCAGCCACAGTGGTCTTCAGAGAGTATTTCAGTCAGCTCCTAGATGTGTGTTATATTAGATGCCTGTCCCTCAGGCCAAAAATTTTTAAATAAAAAAACAGGTTTCTTTTACAGAAAGACTAGGCGCATTTCAGTTGGCTGTTTCTGCACTGTGATTCGAGGGGTTAGACATGGTAAGTCTGCACGAACCTTTTAAGAATTGTTTGTCAGTTTGCTACAGCCTTGTGGGTCTTGTGGATACAATCACCATTGGTTTTCAAAGCTAGATGTTTTGGGGGCCTGTCTCTCAGGCACAGGTATTAAAAGTTGGGTGCCAGATGTACGGTTCAAATACTTCACTCCTTACGGAGAAACTCCGAGTTGTGAGTTCCCATCTGACTGCAGGTCGCCAAGCGGGGGGTGGGGTTTATGGTGAGATTATGTCTCAGCTTCTTCTACTGGTTTTGTAACGTGTTTTTTCTCTACCTAACGTGTAGGAGTCACTCAGCTAGTTTTTGAATTTCCTTCAGAGGGAACTGTTCTGTAGGTAGCTGTAGATTCAGTGTGTTGTGAGAGGAGGTGAGTTCAGGATCCCCCTACGTCACCATCTTGAACCAGATGTTCAGCTTACAAGACCCATTGACAAGTAGCTAGAGAAAGTTTGAATAATACTTGTTAAGGAACCTTTAAGTATTTTGGTGCAGTGATATTTCACAAAGGAAAGAAAGTGAGGAGTAGAAAGCTATTTTCTTTTGCTTTCTTGAGAAGTTATTTCTACACAAACCTTTTGGACTTGTAAAAATATTCCACTGATACTATTTCCTGATTACACTGTTGTGTGTATATGTAATTTAAAAAATACACTACTGATAGAGAAAGAAATATGTAAATCATGTGTTCCATAAATATAAGATTTAAGATTCAAATGAAGGCCTTGTGGGTATTTAAAAAAGATAACCAAGAAATATTTAACAAGTTTCAATTCTTCATGAGTGAAAAATGTACCTTTGTTACATTAGCCTAAACCAGATAATTAATATATAAGGAAAATATATCATAAAACCATGAATACCAAAAGTCTTAAAATTATTAGGTTTGATTTCAAAGCTATTTCCAAAGCTACAGGGGAAAAAATTCTCTGAAAATCAGAAATTCCAAAGCACCTAATCTTGGTCTGTGCTCTAGGATTTATTCTAAATCTTTCATTAGATTATAAATTATTTTGTTAATATTTAAATTTTATGTTTAAAAACCCAATTTTCCTTAGAAGATATGTACTTGTACACATTTTTCAATTCTAAGCCCCTCCCCCTTTTCATTTTTATAGATAAAAAGACAAGTAAAGTTAATGTGCCTTTTAAATCTTACTCCTCTCAACAACTATAAATTTAACCCCATCAGTTTTACTGCAACTTAGTGAATTAAGAGAACATAAGAGGAAAATCAAATAGTATTGCTTTAATTTCCCAGTTTTACATGTATAAATAACAACTCTGTGAAAAGATATAAAATTGTGTATTTGAATGAGACACTTACAAAGCTCCTTACAACTACCTATGTTATACAGACAAAGGGAACTTTCATCATGAAAATTCCTGTGAATTCAACTCTTCAAAGCTCCACTGTGAACTATTTTAAATTTAACCTTGGCCTCTACTGCAATTTAGGAAATAGGGTATACCTAGGGTAGGGAAGGCCCCATGATGGTCCATGATTCACTGCAGAACTTCAACCTCAAATCCCACAGAAATTTTTCTTATAGCCATACAAGCTGAAGCAACTCTGCACAGATTACGCTTGTCATAATTATATTAAAAGCAGCTGAAAATATTTTTAGTAAAGAAATACACTTCGAATGGCACACTCATGCAGGCACAGTTTTAAAGAAGATGGTATGCAATACGGAGTACAAACAAAAGCTGCACAAAAGTATGTCAAGAATGAGAAGAACCAATAAGTTAGAAGAAGCAAGCTTTAATTTACCCTCTCTTCTCTCTGTGAAGACATCTGTACAGGCAAGTGCAAACTACTGCAACGCCAACAACTACAAGAAACCAGGAAATAAGTGACATGTCAGTCTGAAAACTAATTACCGAGATTCAAAATCTAGCAGGAGAAATAAATGTTGGTTATGTTTCAGTGGTCAGAAAAGGTTATTTTATTCAAGCACATATACATTTATATTCCATCTGGACTCTTTACTATCTAAATCCTGTTCCCCGACATCACTTAACAGTCCACAGTAAGTCAAAGAAAAGTCCTTGCTTAATTTAGAAAATTACCCAAAGCATATTTGGGAAGCAAACTCACATGACTATTTACCTTGAAAAAACATGTATTATTTAGGGTTTGTTACTAAGTGGACATATACAATATAAAAGAATATACAATCACCAAGACAAGGTAGTATATCATATAAAAGCTCATGTTTCTAGACTGGTTTACTTAATTTCAAGTTATAAAAATTATAGAAACTGAAAAATCATTAAGAAAATAATGAACTTCTTCACAGTAATATTTTGATGTAAGTCCTATCAAAGTTTAGGATACTTACGTACAGTAACAACAATGAGAGCAATGATTCCTCCATCTGAGAAAAAATGAAAACTGTTTGAAGATAATTGAGCACATATTGGCCTCCAGATAGCAGCTGTATTTTCATTTTGATCAGATCATCTAAAAACTACAGCAAAGAAAAAGTTTATCAATCTAGTTTTAGGGTGACTGCTAGTGCATCGAGGTCATTTTGATCACAGAAGCCATCTAATCAGATTCCAGGTTTAAGATCCATCTTGTGAAACTCGTCATAGGAACCTCACTTTTCCTTGCTTTGTGCTGTAGCTACCACACCAGGTTATTTAGTAAAGGTTATTAGAACAACAGATTAGAGAAAATTACCTACATGTGTCTACACATACTACCACTTACATATTTCATAGTATCTGCACTACCAAAATAACTATAAATGTCAACTACTAATAATTTGTGACACCTTATTTCTGCCCAGGTACAAATAATTAGAACATGATATTGCCATGCAGAACACTAAGGTCTCATAAAGTAGGGTTATTAATAACTAAAACAATACCTAAATCCTCAAAGTCTTCGAGGGATGGAAATTCACGGGAATTGGGATATCCTAGGGGGAAAAAATGGAAATAAGTAAAAACAGAGTAAATAAAGCTGAAAGATCTATATAGTCATTGGTTTTGATATTTTGCATTTGTATAAAACTGTTCATAATTTCATTTTCCTTACAAATTATATTAATGTTTCTTACTAAAAGTAGTATTGTAAAATACTATAAATTTATATTCAGTGTCATCAACATTCTTCTTCCTGTTCACTGACCTTTCCTGTGACTACTTCTGTGGTACAGCGAGCAAATTTATCATTACTGTATTCTGAAAATTAGCCTTGAATTCAATATGATTATACTTAAAATTAAAAGATAGAAAAAGGCTTAAAAATGATCTAGAAGTTGATCAGCAATAGAAAAACTCTTCAACATAATAAAGGCCACTTATGAAAAATCAATGGCTAACATCATACTCAATGGTGAAAGACTGAAAGTCCTTCCCTTAAGATAAGGAACACACAGGATGCCTGTGTTTGCCACTTCTATTCAACATAATACTGGAAGTTCAGGTCAGAGTAATTAGGTAAAAAAGAAATAAAACACATCCAAATTGGAAAGGAAAAAATAAAAATATTTCTGTTCACAGATGAAATGATCTTTTACATAGGAAACTCTAAAGATTACACACACACACACCTTTTAGAACTAATAAATGAATTCAGGTGTAATACTGAATTCAAGGTGTAAATACTACACAAAGCAATCTACAGATTAAGTGTAAATCCTATCAAAATCCTGATGATGCTTTTTGCGGAAACAGAAAAATCCATCCTAAAATTCATATGGATTCTCAAGGGACTCAGAATAGCCAAGGCAATCCTGAAAAAGAAGAGCAAAGTTGAGAGGACTCACATCCTGATTTCAAAACTTACTAAAAAACTATAGTACTCAAAACAGAGTGGTGCTGGCATAAAGACAGATACACAGACCAATGGAATAGAACAGAGGGTGCAGAAATTAACCTTCGCATATATGGTCAAATGATTGTCCACAAGGGTGCTAAGAACATTCAATGAGGAAAGGGCAGTCTTTTCAACAAATGGTTCTTGGAAAACTGGATCTCCACAAAGAATGAAGTTGGACCCTTACCTTACACCATATACAAAAATTAATTCAAAATGGATCAAAATGTAAGAGCTAAAACTATAAAACTCTTAGAGGAAAACACAGAGGACAAGCTTCATGATGTTGATCTGGCAATGATTTCTTGGATGTGACACCAAAAAGACAGGCAACAAAAGAAAAAAATAGATAAATTGGACCATATCAAAATTAAAAACTTTTGTGCATCAAAGCATACTATCAAGAGAGTGAAAAGGCAACCCAAAGAATGGGAGAAAACATCTGCAAATCATATATCTGATATAGGATTAATACCCAAAATATATAATGACCTCCTAAAACTCAATAACAAAAAACAATCCAACTGAAAATGAGCAAAGGACTTGAATAGACATTTCTCCAAATAACATATACAAATGACCAATAAGCACATGAAAAGAAGCTCAACACATCACTAATTGTTAGAGAAATGCATACAAAAACCACAATGAGATACCACTTCACATATATTACCTAACATATATTATGATGGCTATTAAAAACTGGAAAATAACGTGTGCTGGCAAAGAGGTGAAGAAATTGGAACCTTTGTGCATCGCTGGAGGGAATGTAAAGCAGTGCAGCTGCTGTGGAAGACAGTATGGTTGTTCCTCAAAAAAGTAAACACAGAATTACCACATAATCCAGCAATTCCACCTCTAGGTATATACCACAAAATATTGAAAATAGGGACTCAAACAGATACTCAAATGCCAATATTCAGAGAAGCATTATTCAGAATTGTCAAAAGGTGGAAACAACCCAAGTGCCTATCAACTGATGAACAGATAAACTAAATGCGGTATATACAAACAATGGAATATTTTCAGCCATAAAAAGGAATAAAGTTCTGATACACACTACAAGATGGATGAACCTTGAAAACACTAAGTGAAATAAGCCAGATACAAAAGGACAAATGTAAAATTCCACTTATATGAGGTACCTAGGATAATCAAATTCATCGAGACAAAAAGTAGAATAGAGGTTACCAGAACTGGGAAGAGGATGTACACTTAAAATGGTTGAAATGGTAAAAAACAAAAGAATATTAAATAAAAGTTGACCTGGAAAAATTAACATGAGAGTACCCTGCATTCTTCTGAACAGGAAGTGTTCTGCTAGACTACTCAGCCATAAGAAACGATGAAATCCAGCCATTTGTGACAACATGGATGGACATTGAGGGTATAATGCAAAGTGAAATAAGTCAGAGGGAGAAGGTCAAATACTGTATGATTTCCTTCATTAAGTAGTAGATAATAACAACAATAAACAAACACATAGGGACAGAGATTAGATTGGTGGTTACCAGAGGGGAAGGGGGGAGGGAGGAGGGTGAAAGGGATAATTCGGTACATGTGTGTGGTGATGGGTTGTAATTAGTATTTTGGTGGTGAACATGATGTAATCTATGCAGAAATAGAAGTACAATGATGTACACCTGAAATTTTTACAATGTTATAAACCAATGTTACTGCAATAAACAAAAAATTAAAAAAAATATACATATATATATTATAGTGCTACAGTAAAAAAAAAAAAACAATTTGGTGCTGGCACAGAAACGGACAGAGTTCAAAGGAACAGAAAAGAGGCTAGAACACCTATGAATTTAATGTGTGACAACAAGTCTTCAAAACTTTTAAAAGGGACTTCAAAACAGTTGGAGAGAAAAAATTTATTCAACAAATGGTGCACTTAGCCATGGACAGGGGTGGGTGGAGTGGAGAGGAACATGGAGAGGAATCTCATTCCATGTACCATAATGAATTTCAGATGTACCAATGCTTTAAATGCAAAGAATGCAATCAGAACGCATGGGTGAAATGTTAACACAATTTAGCATCGGGAAGACCTAAAACTTTTATAAGAAAGACACAATACTCATAGCCATTAGGGAAAAGATCAATACACCCAACTACCTATTAATGTAAAACTTCTACACATATAAATGACCACTGATAGGAGAATAGTTAAATAAAATATGATATATATTAAAGTCATCATTAAAAAGGATGGGAATACATCTACATAAAACGCAAATCATTAAGTCAAAAAAGTGCAAGTTTCAGAAAAATATGAACAGCATGATGCCATTTTTGTTTAAGAAAAAAGAAAAAATGCCAAACTACAGGTATAACTACACAAATAAGGATATTGACATACAGAAATGGACAAAAAGACACCCTAAACTATTAACAGTGATTAACTCAGATAATACACTACAGAAAGAGAAGGGGAACTAATCTTTTACTCTGTATACTTTCGTAATGTTTGAAAATTTGCAAAAATATTTGTATACTACTCATGTAACAAAAAGTTATAAAAAGTAATCTACAGGGTCCGGCCCGGTGGCATAGTGGTTAACTTTACATGCTCTGCTTCGGTGGTCTGGGGTTTGCAGGTTTGGATCCTGGGCGCGGACCTAGGCACCACTTATTGGGCCATGCTGTGGCAGGCGTCCTACATATAAAGTAGAGGAAGATGGGCATGGATGTTAGCCCGGGGCTAATCTTCCTCAGCAAAAAGGAGTATTGGCAACAAACGTTAGCTCAGGGCTAATCTTCTTCACCAAAAAAAAAAAAAAAAGGAATCTATATTCAGTAATATAGCATTAAAATTTTAAAAGAAAACTGACTAGTAAAAAAAGTCAAAAAAAACCTGGAAAAAACTGTTCACTTCATAGTAAAAGACCTTTAATATATAATGAGTTCTCACAAATCAATAAGAAAAATATTTTAGAAACCTAATAGAAAAATAAGCAAAGTACCCGAATAAATAAATGTAGAAAAAAAACTGTTCAGCCTCACTGATAATTAAAGAAATGCAAATTAAAACAAGACATGATTTTGCACCCATCACCTTATAAAGTTCTGAATGTAAGTAGAATAAAGAATTACTGAACCTGGATAGTGCCAAACTGGAGGCTTGGTTGGATGAGTAGGTTTGAAACCTGGAAAAATAAATTTGATTCAATTCACTAGCCTTATCAGTATAAAATTATGGATTTAATTTTGATTTTTTATTTTTTAAAAAGATTAATTATTTCTCAAAATGAAAAATACACATACTTTCCAAACATTGCAATTCTACTTCTGGGAATTTAATCTAAATATATATTTGCACAAGTACATAAGAACGTATGCATAACAATGTTCACTACAGCTTTGTATTTTATAATGGAAATCCTAGAAGTTAACTAAAAATAAATTGTAAAAATAATGTGTTCATAGTAAATATATGTATCTTTTAAAGAAATTACCATCCAAGTAGCATTGTACTACATAATTTGTATCCTCTTCTTTTTGTGTAGTATTTCGTGGACATTTTTTCATATCAGCACAATCCGATCTACCTTATCACCATTATATGTTGCTACCGACCCTTTTTGTATAGTCTTTCTCTAACTGATGATAAAGAATGATTGACAGTCCCATGAGGAATTTTGATTTTTGACATTTAACAACAGATCCCTGTAGTTTACCTTCTTTGTCAACTTTTCCTCACAATCAGTTCTCTCTTCTTTCAAACACTAAACTGTATCAGTGTTTAATAAATCCTTATGAAATGCTTGTTGGCAACTCTTTCAAAAAAGCAAATCAACAAACACAGAATACCACAGAGCACATACCCACTAGGAGCATGTGAGTAAACAGGGATAGGTCAATGGGTATAAATTTCATATGCAATCTTAATATATCAGTCCACCAAAAAGCCATCTCTTTCCCCCCAAAACCTCACAGCACTCAGCTAAGTACTCAAGGAGGCTACCAGCTACCAGGTTATAGGAATTATAAAAACGTGCTCTACTTACCATGTTAACATTCATGATTCTCCTCAATCCTTTAAATATTAGGGCCATAGGAAATATACAAACAAATTAGAAGCCAGTAATTTGTTTGAGTTCAACACCCTCATTAAACAAGGGGGAACTACAGCCCACAGGAATGATGTTACTTGAGTAAGCAGAGCCAAACTAGGAGCCTGAGCGAGGTCTGCCCAGGCTAAAGCTCTTCTCACTGTTCCTGCTGTCTCTTGCTTCTGCTGCAACCAAAGAGAAGACAGAGATAGCGGCACTGGAATCAGGAAGATAATTCCTTCCACCATATCAAAATCATCTCTCAAGTCTTAAATAGGATAGCTGATCAGTAGTCCCTGTAAGAAATCCTCCATTTCAATAAAAAAGGGACTTTTCCTGCTTTTCAGTTGCTATGAAATTTAGTTGCTGTTGCCAAATTAAACTGCCTAGTAAAGAGAAAAAGAATAAATGTATGAGGTGGGGAGGGGTGGGGGAGTTCTGGAGACAGCAGAAACTTCCCAGTTTAAATTGTACTACATAAAAAGAACCAAATGGTTACAGTCCGGGAAATGAAACATAGTCCTAGACTAGGAAGATACCCTGTAAAGGTATCAACAGGTCACTTTAAAAATGAATAAAGCAGCAAAGTTAATGACACAGAAAATATACATATTAAAACACAGAAGCCATGGATCTTCCTCCTCACTAATATTAACTGGAGTGATGCTACAAGTAGCTATGAGGTAACTTTTAAGAGCTTCATATGCCAGGCACTGTGCTAAGTGCTTTAAATGCATTCCATTTACACTCTACTGTCACAAGTGAGGAAGGCATTAAATCATTTTACATATAAGGAAACACATGGAAAGTTTACATAACTTGCCCAAGTTTACATATCTGCTTGGATCTGTATACTATGGCAAATAACTTTAAAATCACTGAGTATAACAACTAAAATTGCTGTATATATGTTCTTCTTCTCATTACCAAAAATGAGGAATGAGTGTAAATCGCAGGAATTTAAAAGATTTTTATAAAATACCAGCAGCAAGTCACTAAATCTGAATGACTCAAAATTAGAGGTTTTGTATTGAGAGGAATTGGCATTGAAAAACAAAATAATGTAGGATCAACTACTTGGGAATTATTGCTTTCATTCATGTATATGAATTACACCTTTCATTCTTGATTTATACAGATAAAAATTCCCAGGCTTCAATTTACTCTGAAGAATGGTTGCTATCCATTTTTATACATAAAAATAGCAAACAAGAAAAATTTGTATCATGACAAACCTGTGTGATGTACATAATATGCTAAGAACACTATAAAAACACGCTAAATTAAAAAAAGCAGAATTCTATGTGAATTTTATGTCATAGATCTATCATGGAAATGAATACGAGACAGAGTTAAATACTAAAATTACTCTTTTCAATTATTCTGTGTCAATGATATTTAATGTCAAAGAAATAAAACCTTAAAAAAAAAAAAGAAGGAAAATGATTCCATTTGTACCTTTAATACATGTTGGCATCTCAGGCTCCCAAGTACTATTACCACCACAGAACACTATGTGGCTGCCATTAAGGTAAAAACCCTGGAGACATTCAAATACAACCACTGTTTGGTAGGAAAAGTTTTCTCTAATTCCTGATACCGGTCTTCCATGTTCAAGTACTGGAAGTTCACATTTGACAACTGAAAAGTGGAGAAATTACAGAATTAAAGGAAAGCTGTTTTAACATAGGATCAGAAAAAATACTGCAAAGTAGTAATTTCCAGTGGGAACAAAGAGACAATGAATGGAAGGCATGATCTTAATTAAAAAAAAACCACAAAAATTTATGTGGGTATTTTAATTTCAGGTAAACAGATTTAGAGAAATCTAATAACTTTTTCCCACCTAGAATAGACTGCCATTATACTTGATTGGCTTTCCTATACCTTTTCCCATTACTGACAAGTTTTGAGAAAGGTCTACCAGATATAAATCCAGGTAAGTTCAAAAGCAACTTTTGATACTCTGTAGCTCTAGGGACTTATTTTTAAGGTCATGCAAACACTGCTTATAGTACCCTGCTTTTTGAGAAAGATAGGGAAGACTTTTTGAGAAGGTAATACTTGAACTCAAATTTAAAAGGTGAAAAGAAGCTAGCCATGCAAAGATATGCAAAAAGAAAGTTCAGAGGTAGCAATAACATACACGAACTGAGATGTTCACGAAATAGAAAGGCCAATGGAGTTAGGGAAGTGTTTTCCGAACATTTTGGCCTGCAACCCAGAGACCAAGAAACACACTTTACGTTGGAAACCAGTATACAAGCACACAGGCCTGCAACAAAGTGAGTACTTAGCCTCCATACCAGTGCACTCTGGTACTTCCCATTCCACTCTACTTCTGAAGAAGTAAACGCTGGTCATGACCCTCTGGATTGGGATTTCAGGATCTAGAATGGATTTCAGGATCCATTAATGGGCTTGGCAGAATTTGGAAAAAACAAAAACAAAAAAACACCGGCCTAGGCACCGAGTACAAGGCGACATCTTTTTTTTTTTTTCCTGAGGAAGATTCGCCCTGAGCTAACATCCCCTGCCAATCTTCCTCTTTTTTTTGCTTGAGGAAGATTAGTCCTGAGCTAACATCTGTACCAACCTTCTTTTATTTTGTATGTGGGTCGCCACTACAGCATGGCTGACAAGTGACGTAGGTCTGCGCCAGGGATCCGAACCTGTGAACCAGGGCTGCTGAACCGGAGTGTGCAGAACTTTAACCACTAGGCCACAGGGCCGGCCCCAAGACATCTTTGGAGACTAAATCTGAGCAATAGCTAAGGGCCAGGTGATGTCGAGCCTTTTCAGCCAGAAGAGTGCTCTTCCTCCTTTCCCGAGGATCTGAGTTTCCCTCAGGTGTCATTTCCCTTCAGCCTGAAGAACTTCCTTGAGCAATTCTTATAGTGCAGGTTGGCCAGTGACAAATTCTCTTATCTCTTGTTTATCTGAAAATGTTTTTATTTATTTGACCTTCAGTTTGAAGACTTCCCCTCGACAGAGAATTCTAGGTTAAGTGTTTTCTTTCTCTTTCCGCACATTAGCAGATATTATTGTCTTCTGGTGTCCACAGTTTCTCCACAGTTCCTCAAGGGAAGCAGCTGTCATTCTTACTTGCAGACGGTGGGTAGGTGGAGGGCTGAAATAATACGTTTTTTTTTTCCCTCTTACTGGCTGTTTTTCTTTTACCTTTTGATTCACTAGTTTTACCATGATGTGTGTAGTTTAGTAGGGTTTGTATGGTAAATTTTAAAAATTTATTTATCCTGTTAGGGTCACTGAATTTCCTGGACCTGTGGCATTGTTGTTTTGAATGAAATTTGACAATTTTTGGCCCATATTTATTCAAATAATTTTCTACATTGTTCTCTCTCCTCTCTTTCTGAAACTCCAATTACACGTATGTTTGACTGCTTGCTACCCTCCGGCGGGTTTGTAAGTCTCTCTCTCTCTCTTTTTAAATCTTTTTTTCAAATCATGTTGGATTTCTGTTGCCCGGTTTTCAGGTTTACTGATCTTTTCACTGTTGTGACAGTTTGCTGTTAATTGTACATAATGATTTTTTTTTTTTTTTGGTGAGGAAGATTGTCCCTGAGCTAACATCTGCACCAATGTTTCTCTACTTTATATATGGGATGCCACCACAGCATGGCTTGATGAGTGGTGTGTAGGTCTGCGCCTGGGATCCAAACCTGTGAATCCCAGGCCGCTGAAGCAGAGCACACAAACTTAACCACTATGCTACTGGGTGAGCCCCATGATTTTCTTTTAAGTTAGGTTTACTGGATATAATTTACATACAGTAAAATTCATCCTTTTAAGTGTACAGCTGTATTAGTTTTGACAAATACAAATAATCATGTAACTACCACCATAATAAAGACAGAAAAATTCAATAAGCCCCTAACATTTCCTCAAGCCACTTTGTGATCAACTTTCCCTCCCTCCACAACCTGCACCAATCAGCCAACCACTGCTCTGTCTTCTATCTCTACTGCGTTGCTTTTCCAGAATATCATGAATGGGATCATAGCCTTCTGAGTATGGCTTATTTCACTAAGCATAATTTGAAAGTCATTCCTGTTGATGCATGATTCAGGAAATTATTCCTTTTTATTGCTCAGTATTATTCCATTCTAAGGATGTAGCACAGGTCATTCATCCATTCACCAGCTGAAGAACATGTGGGTTGTATAGGATGACTATGACTAAGGCCACTAGAAACATACAGGTTTCTACGTGAACATGTTTTCATTTTACTTGGATCGACAAGTTGTAAGGTAAGTGTATGTTTAATTCTACAAGAAATTGTGAAATGTGCTCCAAAGTGGTCATATCACTTTGCATTCTTAACAGCAAGGTATGCGAGTTCCAACTCTTCCAAATCCTTGCCAGTAATTGGTATTGTTACTTTTTTGTTAGTGTTTTTACTTTCAGCCATTCTAATAGATACATAGTGGTATCTCACTGTGATTTTAAATTATATTTCTGTAGTTACTAATGATATTGAGTAACTTTTCACATACTTTTTTGCCATCCATATGTCATATTTAGTGAAATATGTCTATTCATATCTTTTGCCCATTTTTTAAAATTTGGGTTGTTTTCTTATTATTGAGCTTTAAGAGTTATTTATATATTGTAGATAAAAGAGCATTATCAGATATGTGCTTTGTAAATATTTTCTCCCAGTTTATTGCTCATGTTTTTTTATTCTCTTAACAACGTCTTTTGCAGATGAGAAGTCCTGAGTTGGGAATGTCCAGTTTATTATTTTTTTCCTTTTAAAGATCATGCTTTACAGGTTGTATTTAAGAAAACTTTGGCTAAGTCACAAATATTTTCTATGTTTTCTTATAAAAGTATTATAGTTCTATGTTTTTCATGTATGCCTATGATCCATTTTGAATAAATGTTTGCATATGGTGCTAACATGGATAGAGGTTGTTTTTTTTTTTTTTTGCATATGGGTGTCCAATTATGCCTGTACCATTTGTTGAAAAGATTATTGTTTTTCCACTGAATTGTTTGTACATCCCGGACAAAAATCAACTGGACATATTTGCAAGGGTCTAATTCTGGACTTGCTATTCTGTTCCATTGCTCTACATGGCTATCCTTTCACCAATATCACACTGTCTCAATTCTATATGCCTTATCGTATGCTTATATAGTCTTGACATCCAATGGAGTACATCATCCAATTTTTTTCAAAATTGTTTTGACTATTCTACTTCATCTTTCCATATAAATTTTAGAATCAGTTTGTCAATTTACACACAAAGTTCTGCTGGGATTTTTATTGGGACTGTGCTGAATTTATAGATCAATTAAAGAGAACTGACATCTTTATCATATTGAATCTGCCAATCAATGAACGATGTATATCTCTTAATTTATTAAGGTCATGTTTAGTAGTTTTTAGCATTAAAATCTTTCACATATGTTGCTAGATTTATATGCAAAGTAGTTCCTGTTTTGGAGACACTGTAAATAGTACTTAAAAAAATTTCAATTTCTAATGGTTTATTTTTAGTATATAGACTTACAATTGATTTCTATATGTTGATCTTGTATTTTGCAACCTTGTTAAAACTTCAGTCTTTGGAATGTTCTACACAGACCATCATGTCATAAGTGAATAGAGACTATTTTATTTCTTCCTTCCAAACACATATGCCTATTTCTTTTCTTGCCTTGTTTTTTTTTTTTTTTTTGTGAGGAAGATCAGCTCTGAGCTAACATCTGATGTCAATCCTCCTTTTGCTGAGGAAGATTGGCCCAGGGCTAACAGCCGTGCCCATCTTCCTCTTCTTTATATGGGACGCCGCCACAGCATGGCTTGACAAGCGCTGCGTCGGTGCGCGTCTGGGATCCGAACCTGCAAACCCTGGGCCGCCGAAGTGCAGCGTGTGCACTTAACTGCTACGCCACCAGGCCAGCCCCTCTTTTCTTGCCTTGTTGTAGTGGCTAGGATCTCCAGTACGATGCTGAATAGAGTGGTGAGAATGGACATCCTTCTTTTGCTCCTACATCGTGGGGAAAGAAATTAGTATTTTACCATTAAGTATAATGTTAGCTGGGAGATTTCTATAGATGCCTTTTATCAGGTTGACATAGGTTAGTTCCCTTCTATTCCTAGTTTGCTGTGAAGTTTTATCATGAAAAGATGATGAATTCTGTGAACTTCTTTTTTTTTTTGCATCTATTAAGATCATCATATGTTTTTTTCTTATTCATAGACTCCTGATATGGTAAATCACACTGGTTAATTTTTGAATTTGAACCAACACTACATTTATGGGATAAATCCTACTTGATTATGATGTATTATTATTGTTATATATGGCAGGATTTGATTTGTTGATATTTTGTTGAGAAGTTTTCATTCTATATTCATCGAGAATGAATTGAGGATGTTTGTAATTTTCTTGCTATGTTTTTGTCTGCTTTTGGTATCAGGGTAATGTCCTCATGAAATGAGTTGAGAAGTATTCCCTTCTCTTATATTTCTTGAAGAGTTTGTGTAGGGGTGCTATTATTTACTCTTGAAATGTTTGGTAGAATGCTCTAGGGAGGACATCTGGGCCTGCAGTTCTCATTGTGGGAAGGTTGTTAACTACAAATTCTATTTCTTTCATAGATACGGGACTATTCAGATTACCTATATCTTTGAGTTTTGGTATTTTGTGTCTTACAAGGAATTTGTCAATTTCATGTCAGCTGTCAAATTCATAGGCATAAAGTTGTTTTTGTAATATTCCCTTATTATCCCTTAAATGTCTGCAGGATATTTAGTGTTGTCCTCTTTTTCATTCTTGATATTGGCAATAAATATCTTCTTTTTTCTTGTCAGTCTGGCTATAGGTTTCTCTATTTTATCAACCTTCTCCAAGATCTTCTCTATGGTGTTGGTTTCATTGATATTCTCTATTATTTTCTCTTTTCAATTTCATTGATTTCTCCCTATCTTTATTATTTCTGTCTCCTTGCTTTGAGTTTAATTTGCTCTTCTTTTTTAGTTTCTTAAGGTAGAAGGTTAGATTACTGATTTGAGACTTCTTTTTTTCTAACATAAATATTCCATGCTATAAAATTTCCCTCTAAAAAATGCTTTTGCTGTTATCACACAAATTCTGATATTTTGATATGTTGTATTTTCATTTTTATTCAACTCAAAACACCTTCTAATTTCCCTTGTAGTTTGTTCTTTGACTCAGTGGTTAGTTAGAAGTATCTTGCATAATTTTCAAATATTTGAGGCTTTTCTATATTATCTCTATTTTGATTTCTATATTCACTCCATTGTGATCAGATAATGTACTCTGATTTTAATTCTTTGAAACTTGTTAAAAATTATCTTATTGCCTAGAATCTGGTCTATCTTAGAGAATGTTCCATGTGTACTTGAAAAGAGTAAATATTTTATTGTTATTCAGTGGTTCCTTTCTTACAAGAATCAAATCCCCTCCAGTGTCTCCCTGCTTTTGGTCACTCTCCAGTGCCTTAAACATTGTTTTTTAAATATGTTTTGTCCAGAGTTTATCAATCTTATCAGTGGGAGGGTTAGTTTTTTACAATTTACTCTACCATTACCTGTAGCCAGAACTCTCACACATCTTGTAACACGAGAAAAAACTTTCTGATTTTTAAGCCAGTGTGTGAGTTTTTTGGTTCTTTCAAGCAAAAAATCCTAAGTCATACATATACACGATAGTTCACAATTTATAAACTGGAATGCCAAGAACATGCCAGGTGGGGAACTCTACAACTAGAACTATTTTTGACTCAATTTGACTTATATTAAATTAAATTAGAAGTCAATTTAACAGGAGGAGGAAGCATATATGACTGTTTTGTTTACTGATATGTAAAAATATTTATAAAGTGTTTCCATAGTATTTACAAATGAAGAAGGAAATAAAAGGAAAGGTTATTACCTTTACACTCAGGAGGGTCACTACTCCATGTGTCAGGCCCAGAACAAATAAGCTTGCTCTCTCCAACAAGTGAATATTCATCTGGCCCATCTGAAGGATTACAACTGTAAGTTACTAATTCATTATATTCAAATATTTTCCTGTAGCTATTGGTATGTTTTCCATTTTTTATTTTTCCAGGTGATGAACAATAAATCACTTAAAAAAAGAAAAAAAAAGGGGAAATGAAAGGAAAAAGGAAAGATGAAAGATTAAGACAGCATTAGTCAAGTCCTATGAACTGCCTTCAATAAATTCATTCACTTATAATTTCTACAAACTAGTTGTGAATCCAATATCCATTTAGAAGGTTTCTTTGAGAATATGTATTATCCCAAATTTAAAACATATAGAAATGAACTTTCAGAACAAAACTCATTTTCTTAAATACCTATATTTATCTAGAAGGCCATGCTAAGTTTTGTTCTAGTCATCGTATGAGATGCTGGACACTTAAGAAAATATGCTTGTGATTAAAAATAAAATTCACTGCTAGCTGAGAAATGCTTTATAATCTATAAATGTATTCATTCACTGAACCAACGGTTCACAATAATACCAAGATACCGTCTTCTTTCACGTTCATCCTAATGAGTGTATGGTGAAATTTTCCAGAGGCTACAAATTGTGTGATTTCACAACAGACTGAATCCAGATATCTTCCTTCAAGCCAGATATTAAAGAGATTTGCAAATATGTGAAACAATGCCACTGTTCTCAATATTTGTTTTGGAAAAGTTTTATTTTTCATATAAAATATAATGCAAAAGTTAACATGTATTGACTTACTGTTCTTAAAAGTAAATTACTAAATAATTATTTTAAAAAATTCTGTTTTAATTCCAATATCAACAGACATAACCCACATAAAGAAAAGTTCTTTGGGATCTTTGTTAATTTAAAAGCATAAAGGGGTCCCGAGGCCAAAAAGTTTGAGAATGGCTAGTCTAAATTCTACAGAGAGAATATACTTACTTTCACATCGTGGGATAATACCATTCCATTGCACATTATCTCCAACAAGTTTACAAGTTAGAATATTTTTTCCAATTAAGTAATAACTAAATGAGAAAAGAAAGGTTATTGTTTTCTTTACCAGTTAACAAAATGCAAATAATAATGAAGAAAATTTTTATATGGTTGGTTTTCTGCACTGCAGTAGTTTGAGAAGAATTTTCTAAAATGATGAAAGTGCTAATAAACTCTGCAATTTAATTAAAGAGTTTCTGCATTTGAACACACATTGGCCAAGAGGAAAAATGTCTAAATAAATCTCTCATACCTATTGGTATAGACTCTTTGCTATCTCTGACAATCACATTACACATTCATTTCTATGCCCTTGCTCATGCCATTCTGCTCAGTAAGGACAACGAGTGAGTAGAGAGAACAGGCCCTAGAGCTTGCCCGCCTGGATTCGAGTCCCAGCTCCATGACTGACTTGTTATTTGAGCTTGGCCAAGTCCCCTAAGGCTTCTCTTGCTCAGGTTCCTCATCTATGAAGACAGGATCTAGTACATACCTCAGGGGGTTGTTATGAAGATTAGATGAGTTAACAACTGGCACATAGTGAGTGGTAGGTAAGTTTTAGCTCTTATTAATATATTTATATCAAAATATCTTTCTAGGAATAGTTCAAGAAAACTACTGGATGAAAACTTCTCTGATGATTTAAATTCACAGTACTCTCTGGACTCCGATTGGCATGATCATGAATAACTCTATTTATTTGGTACTTCTCATTTATTATTTTGCTTTGACACCTCTGGATATACTGTGTTTCTCAAGAGGGCTATAACTTCTTTGACAAGAGTCTATGTCTTAAACTTTTGGTGTTCCTCAAAACGTCTAGCAGGCTGTCTCTCTCTATAACTATTACCTGGAAGTTCCAATATTTTTACCTGATCAAATTAAAAAATAGTCAGTGAAACTGCTTGCACACGGTTCCAGTTGACTTTTCCATCAAAGCTCACTTATTTTCTCTACATTATAGTGTTTTAGGAGAGGATTCTGGGAAGATGGTGGAGTAGGAAGCACTAGGAATCTGTCTCCCTATCTAGACAACAATTGCAATGGCAGAATCTGCCTGATTAAACTATTTTGGAACTCTGGAGTTTGTTTAAGGCTTGCAACTTCAAGGGGAAGACTTGGACAGGTACACTGAATTAATTTCAGCTCTTAGGAAAATAGCAGCTACCTATTCCCCACCCTCAGAATGTGGCAGGCAGCTGTGCATGTGCTCCTGGAGCAGCTTGCAGGAGCCAGAGTGAGTAAAAAGGACCCTGTCCTCCAAATATGGATTTGTGCTCTGATTTCTGATTGCTGCTTCTGATCACAGAGAAGCAGATAAAGAACTGGGCAGCCACTTGTCATATTCCCCTCCACTGTTGCAAGGCCCTTCCTTCCCAGCTGAAGTGACTTCCAGGGGATTTAAAGATCCAGTGCCTTTTGGTCCCTTCTTCATTTTTTGCTTTCCCCGCCCTCAGGAGCCAGACGTTAAAGACCAAGACATTCAAAAACCACTGTATATACAAGGAAAATTAGAAAGTGAGTGTGCATGCTCAGGGAAAGGCTCAGAAAAGACCTGATAAGACCTTCAGTTTATATCTCAGGCTGATCCTCAGCACAGAGACACCATACAACAATCTAAAAAACAAAAACAATAACAAAAAATAGCAAGGCCCAAGGAAAGGGGAGAATCTGATTTCCAGAGTTACCACATTATTAGATTCCAATGTCCAGTATTCCACCAAAAAATCACAAGGCATACAAAGAAACAGGAAAGTATGGCCCATTCAAAAGAAAAAAGAATAAATCAACAGCAACTGTCCCTGAAAAAGACCTGATGGGAGATTTACTAGACAAAGACACCAAAATAACTATCTTAAAGAGGCTCAAAGAGCTAAAAGAAGAAGTAGAAGAAGTCAAGAAAATGTTGTGTAAACAAAATGGAATATCAATAAAGAGATAAAAAATCCTAAAGAGAAACCGAAACGAAAGTCTGGAGCTCAAAAATATAATAACTGGTATGAAAAACTCACTAGTGGGATTAAAGGCAGATTTGAGCAGGCAGAAGAAACAGTGAATATAAAGAAAGGACAACGGAAATTACTGAGTCTGAGGAACAGAAAGAAGAGTAAAGAAAAGTGAACAGAGCCTAAGGGACCTGGGGAATACCATCAAGTGGACAAATACGCACATTGTGGGAATCCCAGAACAAGAAGAGACACAGAAAGGGGCAGAAAGAATATCTGAAGAAATAATGGCTGACAACTTCCCAAATTTGATGAAAGACAGGAATATAAACATCTAAGAAGCTCAACAAACTCCAGGTAAAATAAACGCAAAGAGACCCACACTAAGACACATAATAATCAAACTTTCAAAAGACAAAGACAAAGACAAAGAGAGAATCTTGAAAGCGGGAAGAGAGAAGTGAATCATCACATACAAGGCTTCCTCAATAAGATTATCAGCAGATTTCTCATCAGAAACTTTGCAGGCCAGAAGACAGTGTGCTGATATACTCCAAATGCTAAAAGAAAAAAACTGTCACCCAAAAATCCTCTATCCAGCAAAATTATTCTTTAAAAGTGAAGGAGAAATTAAATTACTTCCAGATAAACAAAAGCTGAGAGAGTTCATGACCACTAGACCTCCCCTGCAAGATATGCTCAAGGGAGTCCTGCAAATGAAAGAATACTAGACAGTAACTTTAAGCCATATGATGAAATACACATCTAACTAAAGGTAAATACATGGGCAGTTAAAAAAGTCTGTATTATTGTAATAATGGTTTGTAATTGCAATTTCTGTTTTCTTCATAATTTAAGAGACTAATATATTTAAAGAAAAAAATTATTAGTATAAAAACTAGTATTACTGTAACTTTGGTTTTTAACTCCAAATCTTATTTTCTATATAATTTAAGAGGCTAATGCATTTAAAAGAACTATTACATTTTGGAACACACAATGTATAAAGATGTAATTCTGTGACATCAACAAGCAAACGGGGTGGGGATGGAGCTGTAAAGGAGCAGAGTTTTTATATGTTATGAAGTTAAGCTGGTATAACTTCAAATTAGAGTCTTATAACTTTAGGATGTTAAATGTAATCCCCATGGCAACCACAAGAAAACAGCCATAGAATATACACAAATGGAAATGAGGAAGGAATTTAAACATTGTGCTACAAAAAGGCAACTAAACAAAAATGAAGACAGTAATTCAGGCAATGAGAGACAAAAAAAGCTAGAAAACAAATAGCACAATGACAGAAAGTCCCTCCTTACCAGTCATTACTTCAGTTTAAATGGGTTAAACTCTCTAATCAAACGACAGAGATTGGCAGAATGGATAAAAACACATGATCCAACTATATACTGTTTATAAGAGACTCACTTGAGATCCAAAGACAAAAACAGGTTGAAAGTGAATGGATGGAAAAAGATATTCCATGCAAATAGTAACCAAAAGAGAGCAGGGTTGGCTATACTAATATCCGACAAAATAGACTGTAGATTAAAAAAGGCTACAAGAGACAAAGGACATTATATGTTAACAAAAGGTTCATAACAGCAAGAAGATATAATAACTATAAACATTTATGAACCTAATGACAGACCATAAAAATATAGGAAGCAAAAACTGACAGAACTGAAGGGAGAAATACACATTTTTACATAACAGGCATTTTACAATAGTTGGAGACTTCAACAGCCCACTCACAATAATGGATAGAACAAGACAGAAGATGTGAAGAAACAGAGGACTGAAACAACACAACATTTCTGTGAGCCCCACTTCAACTCTGCGAGTTGGCCATTTTAAATAGGGTGCACTTTGTTGTCAAGGATAAAGTGACCATGGTTACTACATTTTTAATGTTTACGACAGGCTTATTATTACATATACTAAGTATTATACGATTTTGCTTTCCTTCAATATAAATTTCTGTCTACTACTTACACATCTTTTCAGTCTCCATAAAAAGCCCTAGAATTGATTGGCTACAAGTACAACCTGTCATACAGAAAAAATGATGGAATCAACTAAGCTTAAGAAGAGAAGCAAAACAAAAATGGAATTTGTGACATTTACCTTTTTTCCTCCAAGGAGCAACTTACTTACCCCTCATCACACGAAAAGTGAGCTTCTGAATCAAATGAAAAAAGTTCATCTGGGGCGAATACTTCACCATTTTTGACTTCTGGAGTTGGACATTGTTTTCCTAAAACAAAATTTTCAAATTAGTTTTTTCATACCAATATCAAAAGAGATTTGCATTAAGATCAAAACTCTACACTGCTCTTTATAGTTCATGTGATATTATTTTCCTTATTTAACTATTGTAAGGACAAACTTAAAATTCACATTTACCCAGGTAACCAATTGCCAAGAAAATGATTCCCTGGAGATTCCTCAAAGCCCGAAAAAAAAATGCATTGCTATCTAAAACCTAATGTCACATGAGAAAATCATCATTGCTGTAGTGGAAAAATGGATCCTAACGTGTAAAAATCTCTAGAGCAAGCAAAAAAAAAAAGCAAAAAAGATCTTGTTTACTTACTTGCACAAGCTTCTCCGATTGGTAACCATGAGTTATTACGCTCACAATAAGTCACGAGTCTATAAGGAAAGACGTACTCGTATCCACTGCGACACGCATAACGTATTTTATCCCCAGGAAAATAAAGGGATTCAGGTCTACCCTGGAGCTGCATACTGTCGAATGTTGGAGGCGGACCACAGGCATCTAGGAAGAAGAGATTAAGTCCATGAAAATAAAGTACTTTACCTTTCACCAGACAGAGACTGTGGCCTGGCAGCAAGTAGGTAGCACAGAATAAATGGAAAGGTTCTTGACAAGACATTAAATGACTGTCTCATGCTTTTACTCAAGTGGTGGTAGTTGTGGAGGATGTGTCTTGCTTGCTTTAAATAACATCTTATTAGTTTTTGGTTTGTTGGGGAATAAGGTGAATTTTCATTCAACAGTAAGTTAAAGAGACAAAATCAATGTTTCTAGTTTTAAAAAATATATGCAGGAATGCATCCTTCCCCACTTTTTTCTAAATTCATTCCAAAACTCACCTCTCCTCTAAGAAGTCTTCCATAATATGTAACACTCTGCTGAGATTACTCTTCCATAGTTGGAAACACAATCTCACGATCACTTGTCACTTGGGGCTCAGTCTCCTCTCAGGAGGCAAGATCCTAGAGGTCAGGGACCACACGCCTTCTTTTTCTACTACACCCCGTACCCAGTGGGTGCTCACAAAATGCTATGGTAAGAGGCGATGATGAAATGAGCATCGTGGATTTCATGGATCAAAATAAATATGGACTGCAGTACTTCAAAATAGAAGACATCATTGCATATCTTTAATATTAGTGAATGGAGCATTTCGTAAGTGAATAGATGCCATTTAAATATCAAAATGTACTACTTTGATAGCCTTACGTGAAAAAAATTTTGCTTTCTTGGGCATTATTTTATATAATTTAATCTTCCTTCGCTGATCGATGGATCAAGCATTCCCTCAGAAGCTCCCTGAGGTGGCTGTTTGAGCTGTTTATCCAATATATCCCTACAGTAAAGCTATTATATTGCTAGGCTTTTAGATAAATTTTTTACTTTTTTTTTGGTAGTTTTTTTCTCCCTAGAATAGTGTCATTTCTACTTTAGCAATTCTTCTTCCTTTTAATTATTTGTGGGCTTGAAAACCTCAGAAATCTGTTAGAACAAGTATGTAAAATAACGTAATGGAGGCACATCAAATAAGTCCCAAAGGGCTAAAAGAATGCAGAGGCCTCTCCTAAAGGTTAAAGGACCTAAGGAGAAAAGAGTGAGATCTATTTTGATCCCTGAGGAGACTTTTTCTTTCTTACTCCCTGGATCTCGGTCTTACTTCAGATTGAGAGGCTGGTCAAGCGAACTCTAAGCAAGTGAAATGTTACTCTCCTTTCACATCATATTCCAAATTCTAAAATTCTCTGTATATACACTATCCAACGTTTCATTTACAGCATGGACTGAAATCCACCTACTGGCAAAATGTTTTCAACATTTCTACTATGCTGAACTTGATAACTAAATGTTCCTCCATCAACTGCCCAAAACAAAACAAAAGCAAAAAGCAAACAAAAATCCCTAATAATTAAAAGCATTCATTAAAAAGAAGATTTGTGTAGAGTTGAATTTTATTAATGATGCTAAATTTACTGAATATCCTGAACTAGACATTCCCATTTTACAATAGGAAAAAAAAACATGGGCTAGAAATGCCATATAATTCTGTTCTAGATACAAATATATAACATCATTCTAGAATTTCCTGGAACCACCAAGAAAGAAATCAAGTAACAGCATGCCCATGATTAAATTATACAAGTATCCTCTGTTTTATGCATTCAATTTTAGTAACTATCTTGAAAGCATACAAAGAAGAGAGGATTCCTAACTTGTATGGAAAAAGAAATGTCAATTGGATGGTTTAATCCACTCAACTAATTTAAAGTATTTCTTTCCCTTAACATGCATCATGAAATAGATACTTTCAACAATGTCCAGGGTTTAAAATTTGGTTCAGCAACCAATTGATTACAAGCTTTATACACTTAATAATTGAGTCCAATATCACACTTTTTTTACAATCAAATTTCCTCTCTTGTTCGGAACACTGAATTTTTTTCCTATAGAGATTTTCAAACTAAACATTCCCAACTCTAGAATAATATCTTGACTTACTTTGTTTAAGATTGTTTACAATATAATTATTATTAGGCTGAAATGCTATGCTTCAACAATAGATGCCATTATATAATATGATAGGCTGCATTCAAAAAATTCCCCAAAGTTCCAGGTGAGTTTCAGGAAAGTGAAATAGTGCTCTACTATGGATCAAGAGAACTGTTCACCTTCTCTACATTTGCAAAAATTGTGCAAGCACTCTCTACCTCCTTCAAAAACTAAAAACAACTCTGACAGAAGCACATAGCCACAACCCTGTCCAGATTGGTACCTTCAGAAAATCCTGGTATCTGACCAAAACTGGATCCTCAATGAAACCTGACCATCCTGCTCCTTCTCCCACTGTCTACACAACCTATTTTTATACTTTCGTTGTTTCCTCAAAACGCAGACTCTAGCATCTACACCTGTCAATTTTATTTCTCACTTCCCACTCGTTTCTAGGCCAACAAAAAACACATAAATTACTTTCAAAGTCATTAAGTGGCCTCCTTCTTGGTAAATTCATCCTAACCCTTTCTTCCTCAGTAATTTTAGTTACTCTGTCTAGAACATCTGGAGCTACAGATCACTCTGTCTTCCCTCCCTCCTGCCTGAAAAGCTCTTTGTCCTTGGTTTCCAGGATAGCACATCACCCTGGTTTTCAGCTTGTCCTTTGGCTAGTCCTCCTTCTCTGCCTGATCTGATAATGTAATGTTCCTAATGGGTAGTTCTAGGAACTCTTCTTATTTCATTGTGCAGCTCCCCCTGGGTGAGTACATATACTCCCATGACTTCATTACCACCAATAAAAGCTGTCTCCCGAATCCCTCTTTCCATCTTAGATCTCTAGCTGGGGTGCCAAATCTATGTACTCAATTGCCACCCCACAAAGCTCCCCACATGTCTGTCTCATGCTATCTCAAATAACATAATGAAGCCACAACTCGCTCTTTTGATTCTTCACCCTCACATGTGCCCAGCAAACAAGTTATATTGTTTCCACAACTGAAATATCTATTCCATCTCTCTATCCTTTACTTCTAATTCAAGCCTCTCTCATTTCTTATCTGGATTGCTACAAGAGTTTCTGAATAGATCTTACCCATCTTGCCACGTTTCCTTCAATTCATTTTTCACATTGCTACCAGAGTAATACTGATATGAAAGTGATCAACCCTCTTCCAAGTCACATGCCTGTCAATGGCTCCCCATTGCCCTCAAGATAACGTCTAAGCCTCCTTAATATGGCTAACAGACTTTTAAAACCTGTCACTATCAGGACGCTGCTCACTCTTGCACACTATTCTCAAGCCATATTCCATTCCACGTAGTGCCTGTTAAGTTACTTAAATGATATTAGCACTCTCGCCTCCATGCACCATTTTACTCCAGCTTTGACCAGAGACCTGCCACTCCTCCCACCCGCTCATCCTTCAGTTTCATCTTAGATGCCACTTCTTCCTTGAACCTCCTGACATCTCTCAATCAAAACCCTGGGCTAAGTGTCCTCATGCTGCCCCAATTTACTTCTTTCACAGCGCTTTGCATATTCTAGTTCTTTATTGTTGACACTCCTTGCGAGACTGTCACCTCTTGAGGACCATGTCTCACTCATCACTGCATTTCTAGGACCTCGGGTCAGAGCTGACTGAGCACGGGTATCAGTTCTATACACTCAAAGGTCTAAATTCAAATCTTTACTGTTCAGCCAACCTGTTCCAGAGATATCTGCAAATCATAATTTTTTCTTTGCTGTTTTTACGCTTGTCTTTAATTTTATTTCATTGGTTTAGTTATAGACATTTCCCTTTATGAACAAACTTTTGGGACCCTTCTCCTTGGTCTAACAGGCAAATCTAGCAAGTGAGCTGCATAGGCTTAAAGTCAGTATGAAAATCTATGCTGTACTGTAAAGCATCTGTGCAGGCCATCTTAAGCCTGTGTTAAAATGACTTTGCAACCCCACACCTCATGACTGAAGATGCCACCTGGAGAGATCAACCACAAGAAAAGACAAAGGATATCTGGCTCTCATATTTCCTAGCTGCATGTCTTAGAGACTGAGGGACAAGTAATGACTCTGGTCCTTGCCTCCCTCCACACACAGATAACATCAACTTACAAGTCTTGTTTGATGTATAACCAAAAAGTTCTTGTTTACGTTATCTTTGAAATATCTTTGTAAATATTAGATGTGTAACCCCTTTCCTGCATGAACACTGCTTTGTTAAAAAGTATATAAACTACACTCAGATCTGTAGACCCTGGAGCAGTTGCTAACACCCTGGTGGATTGTTCCCTGGGTCTTTACTCAAACTCTTTACTTCAGTTCACACCTTTATCAGAGTTTTTAATTTTTTTACTGCTATTAATAGAAATGGTATTTTAACATTATCAAAGGTGAACTCCAAATACAGTGGGTTAAATTTTTTCCTAAAGTTTGGTAATGAAAGATTCCAGTGGTTGGTTCTTACAACAATAGAGATGATAGTAATAGTTTTCGAAATAGAAAATTTAAGCACTACTTGTGCCAACCATTATTTTAAGCGCTTTTAAACTAACTTAATCTTCATAATCATCCTATGAGTTGGGTACTATTTCCCCCTCTTTAAGATGAGCAAACTGAGGCATAGTAAGGTGAAGTAACTTGCCCAAGAAACATTCCCAGTAGGCAGCAGACCCAGGAGTCAAGCCAGGCAGCCTGGTTCCTACCAACTACCAACACTGCTTCCCATCATGGTCTCTCATCTGGAACCCTCCCATAATTATATCAACACACTCTGTCTGCAAGTTAGTCCTCAAGAAATGGTCTTCTACCGAGCCTGGGGAAATTAAAGCAAACCCAGTATAGATCTGTGTTATGCTAAGTCAAACAGAAGGGCTCAAGGTGCCCTACAAGGACAGGTAACAACATCGTGTCTGAATTTTATGATGGTGATTGTTCATTCCTGTCTATCCTGTTGCTTTTCACTATTTTTCACTCTGTAA